CCACCCACCCCAAAAAGAAAAAAAAAAATGAAACACTCGACTGCAGCAACCTTGGCTGCCTCATCCCTGGAAATGTTCAAGGCCAGGCTGGATGGGGCTTTGAGCAACCTGGTCTAGTGGAAGGTGTCCCTGTCCATAGAAGAGAGGTTGTAACTATATGATAACTTAGGGATCCCTTCCAACCCAAACCACTCTCTGTGATTATTTTTGGCAGCAGCTGCCCCTGTATATAGGCTGGAATCATTCCGCTTGGACTTGGGCTCTGTCAACCCCGGAATAATTTGGCCCAAATCAAGTTACCAGATGCTTGAAGGTGGCTATGGGAGTGTTAGATAAAAGCTTTTCTGTAAGAGTAAAATTTTCAAAGCTTGCTGTGTGGGTATAAAAAAGATTTTTTAAGAGAGTCTTGAATGTTTGTTGTGGTTTAACCCTAGCTGTCAACTCACTTCAACCAGTGGGATGGGGAGAGAACTGGGAGAGTAAAAGTGAGAAAACTTGTGGGCTGAGGTAAAGACAGTTTAATAGGGAAAGCAAAAGCTGCACACAAGCAAATCAAAACAAGGAATTCATTCACCACTTGGGCAGTCATCTCCAGGAAAGCCAGGATCCATCATGTGTAATGGTGAAATGGGAAGACAAAACACCGTCGCTTTTAATGTTCCCCTCTTCCTTCTTTTTTCCTAGTTTTACATGCCAAACATGACACCATATTGTGTAGGATATCCCTGTGGTCAGCTGGGGTCAGCTGTCCCAACTGCGTCCCCTCCCAGTTTCTTGTGCCCCCCCAACCCACACACTGGTGTGGGGGGGTGAGAGGCAGAAAAGGCCTTGACATTGTGTAAGCACTGAAACATCTCTCTGTGTTATCAACACCGTTTCCATCATAAATCCAAAACACAGCCTCATACCAGCTACTATGAAAAGAATGAACTTTACCCCAGCCAAAACCACAGTGTCACGTTGCTAAATGCAAATCCATGACAAAGTGAAATCTGTAAAGCAGACCCAAGTCAGAATCTGAGGTCATGTATAGCATGTAATGTAATGCTGTGAAATTAGCTGGGTCTGCTGTATGTGGTCTTTAACACGTGCGTTACACAGCTGTAAAAGCAACACACTGGAAAACTAAGCAGCAAGGTGGCTTTATGCAAAAGTCGTTTCCATCTGCTTCTGAGGAGATGGTAAATGTTGTAGGGCGAAGGAAAAAAAGGCCAAAAGCAAGGAATTGTTTTCAGGATTTGTTTTCAGTTACTAATGTGCCTTGTGAAGTCACTTGCAGGGCCTCGGGACTTCAGTGGAGTGACTTTTCCCAGTGCTCCCTGGTTTGTATTCCTGCTGGTTGCATCCAGGTGGTGCTGGGCCCTGCTGACAGAGAGCTGGGAAAGGCTGCCAGCCCCAAGCCCATAGGGTGCGTGGGGCAGGCTGGTGTCCTCAGGCTCTGCCTGGTTTCCACCTTTCTGTCAGCGGAGGGCGCAGCTGTGACTGAGAGGATGCCCTACTCCTGGCACACCTGACAGCGGTCCCTCCAAGCATTAAGCCTCCTGCATTACCTTTTGCCTCACTCTGAATCACGCGTCCTTTTTAAACAGCATTGCAATGGCTTCTCTTACAAGGCACCTTTTGGTCCCGGAAATTAATTAAGCTTGGCTTGTTTATTTAAGAAGCACCCCTATAGTTTGCTCGGTGTGTTCCAGTCGGTGGAATGCAGGTGGAGGTGTGGCAGTGCCAGGGAGCAGGCTGTGGGAGAGAACAGGGCTGTGGGAGAGAACAGGTTGCCTGGCCATTCCAGAGCCAGACTCATTAGATAGCAATTGCTGATAATAGGCTTTGCCATCTGGGATTTCCTGGGGAAACAGCCCACCTTAATAAGGACCCACAGAGTTTTCTCTTTTAGAGAGATGTTTCCCTTATTGCAGCTGTGTTGAAAGCTGCTGAAAACCTATGGGTTTGTTTTAATGTATGTGTTTGTTTTACACAGCTGTGCACAGAAATTATACCTGTTAACCCACACAGGGTATTAGTTACCTTGTGTAGCCTTTGCTGGATTTAAAGCCATCACTGGCAAACGTTAGAAAGAACTGTGCACATTTTAACTCCAGAATAAACAGTATGCAAAGGAGAATTTTTTTTTAATTTATTGTTTATGTTTGTAAGTAATTCTCCCTGACTTGGCAATTAACTTTGAGCAATAATCCAATGGAAAGCTCCTAAAAAGCTCCGCAGGGGATAATGATTACTTAATCCCGCCTAAGGAGATTTTAGTGGAAATAATATAAATTCATATTATAATTAAAATTATTCCTTAAGGACAAGACAAAGCTCAGGGAAGTCCACAGTAAAGATTATTTGATTTCAGGGAACATCCGATTATGTCTTTAAAACTCCTCTTCCAGCTGTTTTCTAGCCTGTGATGTTTCATCTCTTTTCTTTCAGTCTCCTGTATCAGGTTGCCCTCATAAGAGTTTTAATCAGTTGAAAAATAATATATCTGTTCGCCCCTTGGTTCCTTTCCAAGTGAGAGGACTTCCAGATTGACTCTGGCATCGTACACGGCTTGAAACACCCTCATGTGGTGTAAACGAAGTATTGAATAGCTCCCTATTGTCAAACATACGACTCACAGATGCCAGGGCTCGGCTTACAGAAACCAGCAAACAAAGGCGAGAGAGAGAGAAGCAGGTAATATATTGATATAAGCTGACACCGAGGCTATGAGTGGTGGACAGAAAAAGGGGGGGGAAGTCAATATTACAAAGGCTATATTATATGACAGACATCTAAGTGTTTGCAATGGACTTAGGAAATGCAAAAAGTGCTGCAATAGTGGTTTTCTGACTTGATGCAAAATGGAAAATGAACACCACTATTTGGTCTATTGCACTTGAAGAAGCAGTGTTTCAAACGCAGTGATGTCTGCAAAGCTTTGCGATTGAGTGTGTCTGATGGTTTTAAATGTTAAATAATTCCATTACAATCAGGGTAAAAATGGTAATGAACAGCTTGGAAGAGTCTGAGTATACTTACATGAAATGTTGAGCAATTAGCTTCTCTCTGTGAGAGTGAATCCTGCAGTTTTCTTCTTATCAGTAGCAAAGCGACCTTTAAAATATGCAGATGACACAGAAGCCGTTTCAATAACTTATTTGATCTATTTCCTGCTGATAAATTGCATGTAAGGATTTGGAATTTACATGGCACAGTAGATTTTGGGCTGAAACGGAAGATTTTGAAAACAGTAACAGAAAGCTTTTTAACAATGGCAAAGCATCCTGTTAAAGAATGAGACGTGTTACCAGGGTACTCAATATGATAAGGAGAAGGAGGCAAAGCTCCCTGTAGCACTTGATAATATCAACTTGTTTTCAGTTGCTTTAAAGGTTTTAAAAAGTTCATTGTTCTGGATTTATATTCTGTATATGACAACTCAAGAACCACGTGTTAAAATTGAAATAAACCACATTTGTGTGTTTGGAATTGCCTAACAGTGAAAGCCATATGCCTCTTGGTGCTTAAATAGCATCAACCTGATCTGCACAGCTAATCTTTTTACTATGCATTTGAAAACAGGAGGGTTAGGAGTGTGGGAATGCAACTTCAGCTGCTAGATTCTCCCAGCTGCCTCTGACGCTTGCTTGTGCTCTGCACCCAGGCAAAAGGGAATAGCTGAGCTCTCAGTAAATCCACATAAGGCATAAATATGGCTATATAATCTGTGAGGCAAAATTGATAGTAAAGTTTTAGTCAGGCCATCCTCACTGCTGAATGTAATTCATATGTGAATGCACAAGCGACATGGAAAAATACAACAGCCTACTGACCTTGATCTAGAAATAAAAAATGTCAATAATATGATGTTTTTCCTGCCTGCTTAGGCATTCATTTTGCAGCCACTTAAACACAGGCTTGAAGTGGAGCATTTGAAAGGTCTCAAGTGACAAGACCCTACATAATTTGTAGGTTTAGTCTGTGAAAAATAAAATTGTACTATTAATGCACATTTGTTCCCTCCAGCCATGGAAATTAATAATCATAATTGCAGGGTTTGGTACTGATTACAGAAGAAAATTACTGAGTTTTATGGAGATGGAAAGAGGCTGAGGTTTTAGTGGAGGGAACAGGTAATTTAATGCTCCTCTTTCCTAGAAAAGCACACAAAGGATTTTTTGGACCATATAAAAGTTTTGCTGGTGGCTACTGGTGGCCAGTATCTGTGCATCACATGTGATGCTCACAGCTGAAGTCCCTGTGCTGGATGAATGCATCTTCTCCTTCCCTCATCATGCTGGTTTTGAGCTGGTGGTGTCCCACACAGTCTAAATGTCCTTTGCAGCTTGGAGATCTAGACAGCATCTTAACCAAAAGAGCCAGGGTGTACTCATGCTGCACATGATAGCTTGGGGATGCTGAAACTAGCTGTGAACAAGGGAGAAAGTTGCTGTGCTGTGGTAGCACTGAAGCACCCCAGTGCTGTCACGTTCTTTGGTACTATTAAAAGGTGATGGCAAAGGGCCAGAGATTTTTGGGAGGCTGCAAAGGGAGAAGGTTTGAGACTCTCCCCCCTCCAGCTTTATCCCCCATCTTTTCTATCTGATCTGATGGCAGAGAACTGCTAAGACCTGCTGTCACAGTAAAAAAAGTTCTAATCAAGACTCTCAACCATAGACACTCCATCCTTACCTCTGTTGAAAGATGGGAAATGCAACATGGGGCCTGGCAAGGACACCAACAGTACTGTGTCAGCAGTCGGACATAATAGTTTTGGCTCTAGACTGCAGTGTCAGTGTTTACAGTCCCTGCCCCGAAGTCACAAAGATGTCCTCAGGAATATGTCAACCTTGGTGAAATGGCTACCCCTGCACTGCAAAGCTTTCTCATCCTGGAAAGCTACACCATGACACAGCCACGGTCACCAAACATATTCGAGTTCACACGCACGCGTTTGCTGAGCAGTCACAAGCTGCAATGGTGGGAGCATGAGAGAGCGGGGTAACCTACAGTAAAGTAGTCATTTAAGGGAGATAAACTTGCAGGGATATGGACTGGAGCTCCCACATAGCAGTCAGTCTGTCAGCTGAAGATATAAATTTTTTTACAAGAGAAAATGTTTCTGATCTCATACATATGGCTTTGAGTAGCATGGCTTGCTGTCTCCTACACTGGGGCAAGTGTACCAGGTGGTCTTAAATGGAAGGGGGAACAGGGCTGCAGGACCGTGGAATGGGTGCCAAACCTACCCTCTATGCTCTTCCTCGAGTGTGAGGGTACTAGGTTGGGAGTGCTTTGTGAAAACCTGTAATAGAAATTGCACTATTTTTAAGATTCTTCAGTATCAAAGCTCTAAAAGCAAAATGTCTTTGTTCACTTCCTTGAGAAGGAAAGTGCAGACTCATGGAAGGAGATGAGTTCTGGTTGTATTAGATGAAAATACATAGTTAACCTGTGTATTTAGAGATAAATTAATTTGATATATACTTGAAATAGTTCAATCAGCAGTTTTACTAGATATCAATGAAATCATTCTGTGAATAATGTGCAAAGTGTTTGTACATATTTGTAAGCAGCTTTTAAGAGAAATGGCTCACAAAGCATTATCCTTCAAAGGCACATAATAATGCAAGGCAGAAAAAGCATATTTTAGCAGATCCATCTTGTGTGTCACAGCAAATCCAGAAATTGTTTTGGAGAATGCTTTAGCCACCAGTTAAATGCAGTGAAAGGCCCAGTGTGAGACTGCCAGCGAAAGGGAATTGCTGGAAGAGCAGGGGATTAAGCCTGCCCTCTCTTGCTCCTTAAATCTTCTGCTCCACGTTGGCTCTTGCCAGGCGCAGTGCGTAAGTCGCTCCAGCTGATCCACTTACTGACCATTTGGCATCGTAAAACCAAGACACTGGCCCTCTGCACTGGGGGCAGGTTGTCTGGTACTACAGTAGCAGGAATGAATGAATTTTAGGGACTAGTGTATCTCTCTTATGAGGAAAGCCTGAGGGAGCTAGGCCTGTTTATCCTGGAGAAGTCTGGAAGAGGACCTCACCTATGCACTTAAGTGTTTGAAGGGAGGGTGCCAAGAGGCTGAAGCTGGGCTCTGCTCGGTGGTGCTGAGCAATGGGACAGGAGGACATGGGCAGAAACCGATGCACAGGAAGTTCCACCTGAACATGAGGAAGAACTTCTTTACTGTGCAGTGACCGAGCACTGGAAACAGATTGTCCAGAGAGCTTGTGGGGTCTCCCTCACTGGAGATACTCAGGAAACGTCTGGACAGAATCCTGTGAGATGTGCTCTGGGATGACTCTGCTTCAGGAGGGAGGTTGTACTACATGCCTCACTGTGGTCTCTCCCAACCTGCCCAACCTGCCCCGGCATTAATCCCGGCATTCTGTGGGCACAGGATCCAAGCCTGTCCTGCCCCATCCCGGGATCCTGTGGGCACGGGATCCAAGCCCGCCCCGTCCTGCCCCATCCCAGAATTCTATGGGCACGGGATCCAAGCCTGTCCTACCCCATCCCGGGATTCTGTGGGCACGGGATCCAAGCCCGCCCCGTCCTGCCCAACCCGGGATTCTGTGGGCACGGGATGCATGCCTGCCCTGCCCCATCCCGGGATTCTGTGGGGACGAGATCCACGCCTGTCTTGCCCCATCCCGGGATTCCGTGGGTACGGGATCCACGCCTGTCCCGCCCCATCCCGGGATTCCGTGGCTACGGGATCCACACCTGTCCCGCCGCATCCCGGGATTCCGTGGCTACGGGATCCACGCCTGTCCCGCCGCATCCCGGGATTCCGTGGCTACGGGATCCACGCCTGTCCCGCCGCATCCCTGGATTCCGTGGCTACGGGATCCAAGCCCGCCCCGCCCCTCACGGCCGCCGGGGCGGGGCGCGCGGTGGGCAGCCAATGGTGTGCCGGCGCTCCGCCGTGACGTCACTCCCCTGTTACATAAGGGCGGGCCCCGCGCGCGCCCCCCCGGTGGCGGCTGGGCCGCGCCACCCGGCCGGGGATGAGGGAGCGCGGCCGCCGGCGCGGCGGGGCCGTGGGGGCCATGGCCGACGGCAACGCGGACTGGATGGGCTCCCTGCCCGCGGCGCTGCGCGCCCTCCCGCTCTCCAACCTCGCCATCCCGGGTAGGGCGGTCGGGCAGGTGTTCGGGGGCCGGGTGCTGGCGCTGGGGGGGAGGAGCCTGTCGGCCGCGGCGTCGCGTCCCTGGTAGGGGAGCGCTCGGGGTGAGAGAATCCCTGTCCATTGCAGCAGGGGAAGGAGAGCTTAATCTTCCGTAAATATAGCAGGGAGAAGCGAACCCATTGACCTGCTGTTTTGACTGGCTTTTAAAAAGGTAACTGCGGCCTCTGGAGGTCCTCCTTAAGGTTTTTCAGGTTGTTTAAGTAAGGCTGGAATCAAGTCGGGAAGAAGGTTGGTTTGTGTTAACCCGAACAGCTGGAGGTTCAGCAAATGGACGTGTTCAAGGTCTGCTGGAACAGGGCTTTGAGCCACCTGCTCTACCAGAAGGTATCCCTGCCCATAGCAGGAGGCTTGGCTAGATGATCTTTAAAGTCCCCTCCACCCCAGGCCATTCTATGATATCTCTTCTATAGCAGAATCTAAGCATGATTTGTTAGGGGGGGGGAAAAAAAAAGAGTACAGTGTGATTATGAAATATCCTAATGTATGGTCTTACATGAGAGACACTAAAATACTGTAACGACTTTTAAAATTTTCCCCCTAAAATTTTCTATATAAACTTAAAATATCTAACACCTGCCTCCTGTGCAGAGCTTCTAGTTTAATTTATTAAAATTGGCAAGAGTAAGCCTCATCACTTCTGGTTTGCAGATAGATAAACGAGTACAACAACAGATGACCTGAAACTTATGTAGGAAGAAGCTGACTTTCCATCTGTAAATGGCAAAAAATGCTATTACTTGTAGATGTCAGTAGGGAAGATTCTAGGGGTGGCTACAGTGTCAGCTCATTCTGGTACTCGATGTTAGACTGGTAGAGGCTTGGTTTTCATCTTAGTGCTTTAGCTTGAAAAACACTTTGGTTATGTGTTATATTATAGATAGTCTCAAGCTGTGCCTTGGACATTAGGAGGAATTTCTGCACAGGAAGGGTGATTAAGTATTGGAACAGGCTGCGCGGGGAGGTGTTGGAGTCACCATCCCTGGATGTGTTCAAGAAATGACTGGACATGGCACTTGCTGCCATGGTCTAGTTAACATGGTAGTGTTTGGTCAAAATTTGGACTGGATGATGTCAGAGGTCTTTTCCAACCTAATTGATTCTATATAGCAGATTTTTGGAGATGCTTCCCTAGAAACAGAGTAACTTTTTGTGTCAGCAGGAATAACCTGTCCCCTTCATGAAGCAAGTAGAGGAAGAGGCTGTGCACCTCCTGTGAGGTACCACAGCACTCACTGCTGTTATCTGAAGCAGAACAGCAGAAATGCCAAGTTTCAGTCAAAAGTGGCACCCTTTCCTACCCTGACAGTAGCAAAAACGTTTTATGTGACCCTGTTCAATAGAAGTGGGAGAGAAAGGAAGTTGAATGTTCATATAAAATTCAGGTGTCAGCAGACTTTGGAACTTCTAGCAAAGAAATTCTTCTCTGTTTTAGTGAACTGTAATAAATCAAATTCCTGTTGCTGTAGCCACTGGAAGGCTACAGCCACTGGAAGGCTACAGCCACTGGAAGGCTACACACTGAGCAGAATGTTGTGATTGCATTAGGGTGCATTGCTGCTGTCTGTCCCTTGCAAACATCATGCAACCAGTATTGCAGCAGAGAAACCAAAGAAATGAGTTCTTGTTTCAGTAATGCCATGATGCTTTTAAAATGAGTAGCGGGGTTTTTTGAAAATGCTTACAACATATCTTTGTTTATGGTCAAGGTTGGTGTATCTTCCCACCCCTTTCCTGTATATACATTATATAACCTGTAAGCAGGCAAAAGACATTTTGGGAAGATGTTTTGGAAAATTTTTTCAATATTATTTTAGTCAAATGATTATTTTGCTGAGGTGGATTTTTGATGTGGTGCTTGACAAAGCAACCTTCTGGAGAGCCAGGGTGGTGTGCAAGTAGTGTGCAAGGAAAGGACTGTATAATACAGGTTGCAGTTGAGGCATCTTTTTACAAATGCTGAATAGCAATGGAGACCAGTGTTATCTTCAAAAGGGAGATGAAAGGTAGGCTTCAGGTTGAATGAGAAGCATTTTTGTTTGTGCTTAGTGCCTGTGTGGCCTGCTTTTGTCCATCTCTTGATGCATTTGTGTTTCTCCCCTGGAATGATGGACTCAACTGGTTTTGGTTTGGGGATTTTGTTTGTTTGTTTGTTTTCCCCTCCCTGCTCCCAGTCACTCTTTGTACATAGGAGCAGAGATGGAGCTCTAGGAGTGGAAACCCTAAAACCTGTTTTAACTTGAAATAAAGTCAGCATTAAAAATCATGACACTCCTTTATACTTTTTGCACTTAGAAGAACTGCAGCATTCAAAGAATAACATTCTACTTTTTTTTTTAGAAAAGTACAAAATGATGGTATAATGAGGCTATTTGAAGTGAAAGAATTTATAGTATACACAGTAAAGTAACAGCTTAGATTTAATTCATGGTGTGGTATTTTAAGTGGCAAAGTCTTAAGTCTCTTGTATGATGCTCAGGAGATCTTCATAGAGTTCTGCTGTTTATTTGTTGCAAAGCTTTTGCTTTTGGAACTGCTTGTTTTCACTGGCTTTAGAAAAGGTAATTGTGACTCCTGGGGGTCCTTTTCAAGCTACAGTATTCTGGGATTCCATGAGCTGTTAAATATGGTGTGAAACATGTTACCTGAGGGCAGAGAAGGTCATTCTTTGCTCAGCCCTTAGAACCAACGGGTAGCAAATGATGTTGAAGATGGGTACTTCATAATGTATAGAGTGTGTTTACATGCTTATTTAACTCTGTGCTCAAAATGGAGAGAGAATTTGAAAAATTCAAGGTCATTCTCTAAAGTTTGTGTCACCTGTTCCCACATTTGGGCTTTTCTGTCATTTCTTTTAGATAAAAACTCTAGACAAAATGTTACACTAGTGTAGTCCCATCCCAGGAATGTGTGATGTCATGAGGGGGGGGATCTTTTGCAATAAGAAATTGCCAAATATCAAGTAACTAAAATGTCATCAATTTACAACCATACAATATAGTCAACAAAAATAACCACCCTCAACAAGTGGTGACCCTGTGTGAAAGTCCAGAGGGTTTTCTCTTAATTATATTCCACTAATCCTCTTTGAATGTGAGTTTAAAAATGAACTCTTAAACGTTTTGATTGTGGATGTGACCGATGGCAGGGTATTTGTATGGTATTTGTTTAATCTCAAGCTGGTTTACTTTAAAGAATTTTATGAAATCATGTACAACTGTGATACTTATTACTTTCCTTGATCATCTGTTGATCTGCATCAGCTATTTTTCTTATTTATTCTTTGAGAAATGGAACACAAGAAGAATCTGGAGCGCTCTCACTGATCTGCTTTTGAAGTAAATCAGCTTTCCTTGCTTGTAGTTGCATGCTGATAGTTCATTGCACTGTGGTTTGTACAGTTTGTACTGATTCATTTTAACTACTGCAGAAATTCTTAAGCAAGTGTCTTGATTAACTAGGTGCTAGAGTCTCAAGTCTCTCTGCATCTGGATGTGCAGCACCATTCTCCTGTTTCATCAGGCTTTTACAGATGAAACACTGTGTCAAGGTCCACTTTGTGAGGTCACCATAAGCTTGTACCTGTTGGTTTGAGACAACAGGGCAGTCTAGTGGATGTTCAGTGCCAGCCATCAATGTTTGCTTATTGAGCATTTTATCAGTCCAGCCTCCAAGGAACTGATGAATGCGATGAGCAGAAGAGCAGGCAATTCGGTTTTCCTTTGGGTGTTGGTAATAATGCATTTACTTAATTCTTATTCCAGCTTTGAATATTTAAGAGCTGTGATGTAACAGATAGGTATACAGTTTTGCATCAACCTGTATCCCCTGACTGGTTCCCAGCTTTGGGCAGGATGGTTAGCTGTGAATTTCCCCCGTGCTGATTTTCTTTCTTTGTCTTCTAGAGAAAACTTATGATGACTTAGCTAGGGATCCACTGCTTCTTGCAGGAGCCTCCAGAACAGTTATGGGTGCCCTTTCATAAATATAAGTAAGGTAATCAAAAATGTGTTCTGTCCCCTGCCTTCCCTCCTCTTCCCCTTCAAGTACAAATGAGTGTGTTCAGTAGGCTAACCTGATGGGAATGTCTTCTGTGGTGATGATGGTTTAGAGGGATTTTAGAGGGTTTGAGTTTTTGTGTTGTTTGTGTTTTGTTTGGTGGTTTGTTGTTTTGTTTTGTTTTTTGTTTTGGTTTGGGTTTGGGTTTTTTTGAGAAGTGGTTTCTGCCAGAAAAGCTTCTTGCAACAGCTGCTCATGGAATTGGGCAAGCCCCAGTGTGGGTGCTGGAGCATGTGGGTGTCCCAAGGGAACATGAAGGTTAGCCTGATGTGTCATGGTGCTGCAGATATAGAAAGGAAAGAACAACAGGTTGAATGGCTGTATGTAGAATATATGGGTGATTATATTTTCTTTCACATAGTTTGGGTGAAACACATGCTATTAGTAAAAATTAAGCTTAGGTGGGGAACAATTAATTTGAATCTGAACTTTTTGATTGGTTTGATTGCTGTCACTGGAGAAGAGAGCTGAAAAATGGAAAATTTCATTTTTAAAACTTTGAAATGTAAATTTTTGTGTTGTAGGTCAAATTCTGTACATCTAAGGCTGATTTGAAACAGTAAGGCAATTTTTGCCACCAAAAGCCAGTTTTTCACATGCTGGTACACCTAGAACTGAGCATCATGCTCAGCGGGGTGCTCTGCTGGTGTGGAATATTCTGGCTGGGCAAGCTGCCTCTCCAGGGAGAGGGGGGCAGCTCTTCATCTGCAGCTTCTGATCGTGCACAGAGCCTCTTCTGTCATCTTCTAGTGATCCCAGCTGGTGTGTTCTTGCTTCCTCAGAAACCATGTGGAAGGCTGGCCAGGATCTCATTTCTAAGTCACGCAGAGCAGTTGGAATGTGGAGCTATTCCTGTCAGAATTAGGTTGGATGATGGGTAAGGAGT